ATATTAAGAGGTTTGGCAGATTTACTTAATTTGAGTTGACCCAATTGCGAAAAAACTCGAGGCGTTCGGCGGGATTGGAACCCGCGCATCAGAGAAGGCCCTTACCGGAGGCCAATGCTCTAACCGCTAAGCTACAAAGGGGCAGGGTTCGCTGGAACTGTCCCCCATTCAAGCCAGACCTTCCCTGGCTCATGTGTATGTGGGCTCTAAATTACCAAAAGGACTTTATCGTGAATGTCCTTTTAAGCACACTAAGCGAACGAGACCGAAAGAACGGAGACAGAATATCGATGAGGCAGATATCTTGCAGCTATCATTAACTGCCACCATGTCTCAGGCGGCTAGCGGTTTAGTGATATGAAGCGCTGACACGCTTTTTGAGGCGGGAGACGGAGCTTTGCAACACAGAAGACGCGGATGAACCCTAGCACAGAAAGAAGACGTCGGTAATGTTAATTTACTAGATACCGAATAAGTGTGAGCAGAATTAAATGACTTTCAAATATCTAGAAGTTTGGCCCAAATATCAACTGTAATCCCTTCAACAGACCACCTTTACGCGCCTAATGTGCAGAAAAGTATGCAGTCGATAAGACTAATCTGAGACCTCATTAACCGAAAACATTCTTCTAAGATATTATATACAATGTCTTGTTTCAATTGACCCAGTTGTGAAAAATTTGCGGCCTCGGTGGGAGTCGAACCCCCATAGTGGGGCAGGCTTTTGCACAGCCAACGCTCTACCATTAAGCTACGGGATTCACCGTGAGTTAATCACTCATGAGTCTATTTGCATGCCCAACCCACTGCTCATATGGAATCCATCAGTAGGGATACAGTAGGTTGACTGCCATCTTGTTCAAGTTACAAGAAAACTATTGTGCGGACTTGGAAAAAGTCCTTCGAAACAAATCTCTTAGGCTCGATATATATATTTGAACTGCAATCTCTCAGCTACTGAGAATGACCGCGTTATATGCCCTAGCTGTCATCAGGCGGCACATTTTTTCCGTTTGTATTTTCGAAGTTAACAAGTGCAGGTCTCGGCAATTCAGTTATTTTTTTTCAGAATAACATGACCAATAATTATTTTTCACTTACCTACACGTAGCTCGTAAGAGTAGAGACATAGGCTCTTCAACGCGGGAACCCTGAACTTGGTGTTCAGGCAAGTGTATCACCGCTGTTACAGACAGACACCATGAAACTCAGAGGAGAGTTTAGTATACCTGACGCTGGCGACCAAACAGGATATGCTCTTCCAGTGTTACGCATGAACGCAGCACGCTGAAATCTGAAACTTGATGTTTGGCACGCAGAGTTTGGTTTGGGTGGGCATGTGTCATGTGGAGTTCTGTGCACAAAAAAGTGATTTATTTGTAACAAACTCCGCAAGTGCTCCAGCCAGACGACTGTAAACTGGTACTCGACGGAAACTCAGACCATTGGGCATAAAATAGGCAGCCCATGTTAGAGTAGGTAAGGTAAGGTAGGTAGGTAGATAAGGATCAAATCATCAAGGTACTACTAAACGCCGAAAGCATTTAATTAACAATTTAAACGGCTTATGTAACCAGGAAATATAGAACACGATAAAGGATCAGGTTGCCTATCAACACCTTTCAAGAAAGTAGAGACCTTTTTGGAGGATTCTTGAACCTCGTGGTATGATTTCTTCTACGTCTGAAATCCCGAAAATGCGTGCATAGTTTCCCTAAAAGGCTAAGTTTAAATTCAGAGCAGGACAATATGTAGGGAAGAGAAAGAAGAATGAATTATATGCTTCACTCACTCACTAAAGTGATCAAGTGTGAATTCGTGAGAACAGAATCGTAAGTAACAATCCTGATACCACCACACAGTGAGAGGGTTCCAATCCGTGACGATGAACCACTGCCGAATGTCGAATTTCGTGTTGAAAATGAGCAGCGGCTTTTCAATATACTTCTGAACCACAAACCGATTATCGAGGCTTGAGATGTTATTGGAGAGGAGCGCCAGGATTGAGTCAAGCTTACGATGACAGGTGATTCCTACAAGACAACACGAGACATGAAATATCAGAAAGCAGGTCAATGTCTCCTTACAATGAATCAAAGCGGGAACGCACCACGTCCACGGGATTTGGCTCCAGGCTTCACTATCCAAATATTTCGGCAACCATCCAGTTCAAATTGGGGATTCACGGCATTGATTTTGTCGCATAAGAACTGGCACCTTTGGTAGATGGGCTCACCCTCCTCGAACGGGCTAGGTCCCCTGCAAAACGAATGATTTAACGAAGGTTACGAAAGTCCGATACAGGGCACAAGTAGCCGACATCCATCCGTTTAGATTAATAGTACCTTGTAAAATTCGAATTTACTGCTGAGCTACATCAGTAAAAATCAAAACGCGCGGTGTTCTTCGCAATTAACCTGGACAAACTTCAGCAACTCTACAGTGTGTAAGCGGGACTATTCATTCGAACAAAGTTACTGAAACGCGCGGGTTTATCCACAAAATGACATATCTCACTTCTAACAGTAACTTCAATTTTTCGTTCCGTATCCCCTACTCTAAGTACGCCGATGTTAGTAAGTAACCGGCTGACAGGAAGGTGTCTTAGAGGGCGCTAATAGTGACGGGGTGAAACAAATGCTGGCTTGAAACAAGGGACGTCGTGATTACAGATTGTGAACAAAGTTTTGTTCGGGCTAAAGTGCCTAGGCAGCAGCAGATTTCTAATCTCATGAAATGTCAGCCGAAGTTCAGAAATGTGTTTAGGATTCGAAAAAAAATACTGAAGTAGCGTTGAGGCATTGAGTATCGTGCAGTCGAAATCCACGTCAAGACGCCGGCGTATGCACGAGTTTCTTGCTGATTTTCTGCAAAAAGCATACTCTGGGAAAACTTACCGCTTAAGTGACATGCAATTTTCTCATAGATTTTCGATATCCTTCTATATGAAAATATTCTCTCTTCTACCCATTTGGTAGCAAATTAAGTTTTCTGCAAGTCTAATATATGAAGAAGTAACTTGTGTTTTAGAAAATATCACCAGGAAAGTTTTTAAGACTGTGGAATGTTAACTAACATAACATCGTATTCATAAATTTATTAACGTTGTCTATAAAGCAGATACTATGAAGCACATCTATTGCCAACTTTTATGAGAACTGTGTGTAGAAAAATGCGAGTTTTTCTTGGACAGAATGTATACAACGTGTATGGTAAGTGACCTAAGCCGTGCGAAGTTGTGATCCAAATTCAGGTTGTTAGGTTATCGTACATTCTATCTTGTTATTTTCATCTGTTGAGAGAGCTTGATGCTGAGAGATCCTTTACTTAGCGAAAACTACACGCTCAGTTTCTATGTTGGCGAACTCGGAGGTTACCGGATAGCAAAGAAAGTTTCCACGCTATTTCATATCAGAGAACACAACCTTTTGGTTATGCGCGTTGAGCTGCAAAACAACACCAATATAAGCCAAAAGTACTTTTAGTAAAGCCCTTGAAAAAGCGCCAACCACCATGGATGGCGAATAATTATCGATTTTTCGGCATGTTTAAAAATGCGCAACGTTCTTTACACATTTCCTTCAAGTCCGACGACGACCTGGAGGGCCTGCGTCGAAAATTTATAATAAAGTTCGTTTCTGTTTCCCAAAGAATATTTTCTCTCAAATTATATTTCTTGGGATGCCTATTTTCAAATTCAAATTCCATATTCTCTCGGCGCATAAGCAGAAAATTTGTATAGCCCAGACTACCATTGACAACTTAGTAGTCTCTATACCCTTCCGGCTTACGGCACTTTTGTATGCTAAATGACAATCAACAAAATAGTGGTACGTTGCATTTTTATTGTGGCCTTGCATCTTATTTTTCTTGACTGGTAGCAGTCATATTATCTCTTATATAAGTGACTTGTCATGTAGGCATTATTTTTGATTTGACGATTGTCGATAAAATAAATGAGTTCTTAGTTAATCAAGTATACTTTAGAAATCAAACTTTATGTTCCATTTAAGATCGGTCGTTTATGTAACATAGGATAGCTTAGGAAGGTGCGGGCTAAATGGTTTGTGCGCCACAAGGATTTGCGAGTGAATTTCGTGAACCTGCAGCAGGTAAGGCTCGAACTGCATCTTAGAACCCCTATGTGCAGGTGTGGCGGCCGGTAGGGTTCAATATCATTTGGCAACTTAGAAGGTCTTTTAAAGCCGAAAGGTACCCTTTTTTAAAGTATAACGTTCGAAGGAAGCGCGAGTTGCTAGAAAACGAGTAAAAGGAAAAAATATTTTGGGTATGTTTCCTGAAAAATATAATTGAATTTAGAAGGGGCATTGAAACTCTATCAGAAAAATGCATACTGTTTATGTAGCCATCTGCTACGGAACTTTCAGTGGGCGACCAGACGGAAGTTGGTATAAAAACTGGCATTCTGACCTGACTGAAATATCTTGGGAGTAGGCTGCACGATACTCAATATTATAAGCCCCATTTGTTCAAATTGAACACACATTTGAGAACCTTTTATGAGATAGGACATTGGCTGTAGTTATCTTGGCCCTCTAGGCTCCTCCATACTACTGATTTACATGAATTATGAAACGGTTATCCTGGGGTAGCGAGAAGTAACGGCATAAATAAAAGATTATGCGATGAAAATCAG